ATATATATATATATATATACATACATATATATATATATACATATATATATATGTATAAGATAAGTATTTTACCACACCACACATGTTTTAACATGTATACGTGTGAGGATTTATTATTTCACTTACAAAGAGATTATCAAAATTAAACAAGTTGATATGAATTCTAATTAAAGTTTAAGACTAATTATTAATAGACGTTTTAAGACAATCTTAAAAAAAATAAAAATAAAAAAATAGATGAAAATAGACTTTGATTAAATAAATTAAAAAGACACACTTAACTTCACATAACATCATAGTTAAATATGAAATTATAAGAGACTCAACCAAGAAGGATTAGTCTTCCATGTGAAAGACCACCCATGAGATAAAAGGAAGTAGTGGTGGATGGATGAAGTGATCAATTGATTGGATCAAATGAGATAATTTAGAAACTCGTTGATGCTCAATTTATGATCTTTTAAACTCTTAAATTTATTTCTTAAAATCTCAAAGGACATTTTGTGTAGATGAGAGAATGCATGAGATAAAGTTGGTTTTGTTGCAAATATTGTGTAGAGATTTAAATGTTTAAAGATATAATTAAGTATGTAGAATACAATATTATCTCTAATGTTATCTCAAATCAAAATATTCTTTGAATCTCGCATGCACAGAAATAAAACTTAAAAATAACTTTATCTTTTAGAAAAATCTAGCTCATAAATTGGTCTAAATAAACTTATAACATGTCAAACAATGTGGTAGACGAGGTCCTCCAGATGATATAAGTATCACATGAGTCATTATATGATAAGAGCATCAAATGAGTCATTCAAAAGTGTTGGCAATAACTAAGCTTGTTGTGTAAATTGAGTAATGTATTGACCAAATGAATAACTTCATCAAACGAGTGCATTACATAACTTCATTAGACGATTCAAGTATAAGACAATATTAGTATCAAATGATAGTGGCAAAGAACAAATTAGATACGTCTAACACTGTTTTCTTATCTTGAATCATATATTTTTTTAGTCTTCCAACTCATTTAAGATTAAGCTTAAGGTCCCAACTTCTCTTTGTCACTAAGAACTCTCTAAATTGGTTAAGATTACCATTAAACTATTTATTTATTATGTCATCTATAGATGATTTATGAGGTTAATTTCACTTCAACTACACAAAATACATGTTAGAATATTCAAGGACAATGCAATTATATAATATCATTATAACTCAACACATGGATGATTTATCAAGTCATATAAACAAATTTCATAGATTAAGTTCTCTAATTAGTCTCCTCTAGCTAGAGTGTTTAATGTCTACCATATGTCTAAAACAACTTTTGTCTAACAAGGCTTAAAAAGTTAATTTCATATTTTTTTCTTTCAAAGCTCATTTTATTCTTTTTTGAGAAATTATAGTTAAAACACTATATTTAAACATAATTATTCTATTATAAAGCTAATATTAAATGACTTTTGAGTGCATAAAATATTCACATCAAAATCTAAAAATTAATCTAAAATGTTACTTTAATGTGTCACAAAGGTCATCAAAATATTTTGTTCACGTCAATATAGTTAAATGATTTTGTATAAATATTGTAACAAAATTTTTATTTATACAAAACTAAGGTATAAATGATTTTTACTTCTCATTAATTTTAAATACATAAAAAATTAAAACGAAATTAGTGATTTTCTCTAACATAACCAAAACTAATTAATAAAATTTCAATCAAGCTTCCTCACTTCCCCACTTTGCTCACTAGCCGCCGCTGCACGCTCACAATGCAAGCCCTTCACCGTTTTGCATTCGCCACGCGCCGCGTCGCCGCGTCGCCGAGTCACGACAGTCTTCTTCCCCTAGCATCTTCTAGAATCATCTCTTTCTCGACCGATTCGCGCGACGGAGGAGGAGGCGCCTTCGATGCGGAATGGCATACCACCACGTCGTGGTCGACGGGGCTCGCCGGTGACCACTTCAACGGTAAACCCTCGGAGTCCACGTCGAAGGTTCTGTCGGAGCTGCAGGACACGGAGGATAGGGTGCGCGAACTGGAGGCGTCGAACCGCCGAGGGAAGGCGTTCGTGGACAGCTGGGGGAGACGCTTGAGGGAGACTAGCATGCTGATGAAGCAGATTCAGGAGCCCGGCGCGCGAGGCTCGTATCTCAAGGACTCCGAGAAGGCGGAGATGTACCGGTTGCACAAGGAGAACCCCGAGGTCTACACTGTGGAGAAACTCGCTAAGGATTACAGGATCATGCGGCAGAGGGTTCACGCCATTCTGTGGCTAAAGGAGATCGAGGAAGAGGAGGAGAAGAAACTCGGTCACCCTCTCGATGATTCCATCGAGCTCTTGCTCGATAGTTACCCCGAGTCGGTGTTTCAATTTCGTAGGGTTTAGGGTTTAAGATCTGTGTGGTGTTAGGAATTTTGATTTTTTTTTTCGTCTTGCAGGTTTTTTAATTCGCATGATAGGGAGTTTCATGTTGCGTCTCTTCCGTATAAGCCGGACTTCAAGGTTATGCCGGAGGGGTGGGATGGCATTACCAAAGATGTTGATGAAGTGCACTACGAGATTTCCAAGAAGGAGGATGAGATGCTGTATCGAGAATTTGTCGAGAAGATGAATTTCAACAAAAAGAAAGTAAGTTCTATTGGCCGTTGATCTATATTGCGATGTCTTTGGGTGTCGATGATCGATGATGTGAATTGAAGTGTCGATGTTGTGTACATTGTTTGTTATTGTTGTGGATTATTAGAAGTGTTTCATATCCTCGTCCTAGAAATGAAATGCCGTATGGGCAGTGTTTGGAGGAGCAGATCCCAAATTCTCACCAAGAGTTTTTCTCTTGTTCTGTCTTTTAAATCAAAACTAGTTATCCGATTGTTGTTTACGGAGGAATGAAAATTTTGGTTGTTTTGTGAACAAAGAATAAAAGGCTTTCTGCTTGCAGTTTGGTTAGGCCATTAGCTACCTGTGTATCACATTGCTCGTCTATGTCCATTTTATGCTCTTTAAGGTTCCCTTTTCTCTCGGACGGGCAGCCTTTTTCCCTCTTTCTTTGAACAATATAGCAATAGACTTGATCCTAGATATTTGAATGAAGAAGTAACTAGATGGTGATTCAGAAGTAGATGATATTCCTTTTGTCTTAATTAGGGTCTTGTTTTAATTTATCTTCCTCCCACATCATATGATAGTCCATCAAGTACGGTCAAAGTAGTAAAAAACAAGATTTGGCTGGGAATGTGAAGGGCTCACAAGATCGGAATCATAATCTGGATCGTACATTCTACTTCTACATAAACATAATATGCATACCCATCCAAATAACAAATATTAAAAACATCAGTCACGGTTTTACACTTTAAAAATACGTGATCAAAGCCATAAGAAAGCAAGCATGTCAACCAAGTCATAACTACCAAATGCCAAATTATCAACTACCAAAACCAAGACAGAGAACGCCTAGAAGCCTAAGGCCTAACAGTAAATGTCTAATATAAATCTTTCAAATTTAAACCAAAACTCAAGGGATCTTCCCCCGTCTCCTTTGCCAAGCGCATTAATAAGAAAATCCTCCACTTGTAGAGGTGGCACAGCAAGAACATCATCCTCTTGCTCTCCAATTTTGGTTTCACCTTCATCCATGTTTCCTGCATTCCAGTTTGGCAGTGTGCTTAGCAATCATATATGATTTTAGATTGAGTGTTCCCAACCACACAAAATGCCTTAGGAATTCTGTCCTAGTGAAGTCACAAATGTAGTATCTTGGCAGTCAAAAGCTCTATAGAGCTTTCAACCTAATGGTAGAAGATTATAATTGGTTATGATTCCAGTTCTTTTTTTTACTCATGCCGGTTTTTATTTATTTATTTTTATAAAAAACAGTATGTCCAGTAGAGTGTTGCAGATGCAGGACTGATTTCAAACAGATTTTTATAGTTGATTAGAATCCCTGAAAAAAAAAATCCTTTTTTTAATTGACAATTTTTGTGGCTAACAAGTATGGATGCATTGACGTGATTTGTGCAAAAGAAATGATGGAACTTGAAGAAATCTTAAGAGATAAATTTTGGGCAATACATTATTTATGAATTATTTAGTAATAATATAAGAAAAGAAACATTTTATTCTCTTTTATTAGGTATTGTTTCAGACATATTTTGTGTAAGCACTTGGACTGAGTTTTTCTTTCTGTGGAGGTGGTTGAGGAGTAACGTGTTAGGAATTTCTAAGCCATGGCTGTTGCTTCCCTGGTACTAGTATGAAAGACAATATGTTGTTTTGGGCACATTGACAAATGTACCCTCTCAATTATTAGTTAACTTAACTTTTATAATTTTGCCTTTTTGTATTTGCTTGTTATCTTGACAGTTAATATACACTTTAGTACTGTTAGTGAAAATCATTTCTCACATATCTCTTTTAATGTGTTATTGGCATTTATTGTCTGATAGTTGATGAAATAGTCATATCACAATATTTATATGTATAAAAAATTAAGTAATGGAGCATTTCCATGGTAGGTTACAAGACCCATTGATGTAAGAAGGATGCTTGTAGAAATGACTGATATTTGTCCTTACACTTTCATTAATATTGTTTCTGGAGTGGTGGACTGTATATAGTCTTCCTCTCTGTATCTGTAGCGGAGTTATTTATTTACTTTCTAATTAAATAAATGTGTAGTTTACAAAAAAAAAAATCTAGTTTTAGAGGAGAAAAATTAGTTTTAAACTAGTTCATTAAAAATCCAAAGCCGGTTTTAGGATTTGGTTTAGTTTTGGTTCCTAGGTAATGGAGAGATTGATGAAGGATGTCACCGAATTGAATATAGTGGATTAAGAGGCAAAATGCTTCAGGTGTAATTTGTGAGTACTATGTTCTTTCAATGAAGCTTTATGGTTGCAAATTGTTGGGCCTTGAAATTGTAACAGTAACAAGTAAATAGTTTATCAGAGATTAAAATGCTAAGGATGAATGCACATCTAAGAGAAGATAAAAATTGGATCATAAATATCAGTAGCAGTGTTAAACACACCATTGCTATATAAACACACCATTATAAACACACCATTATAATGCTGGTAGAAGGCCGAAATTCCACCTATATCAACACACCATTGCTACCTATGATATCGCCATAGCGAGCCTCCCATCACAAATATCCTATGGCAGAGATGATGAAATTCTATCTAGCGGAAGATGGTGACTAAAACTGGCAGATGAAGAACTGTAAAAACATCAGGAGAAACTATTATGAACTGAAATTTCTTTTAATGGTCTATGCGTGAGCAGCTCCCGTCATATTCAGCTTAACTTTTCTTGTTGTTCTAGTCAGATTTTTGTTTGTGGATATCATGTAAGATTGTGACTTTGGTGGTTGTATGCAGATGGCTGGAGAGGTCAAATGCCACAAGTATAGTAGACGACGTCCTTCAGATGGGTGGACTTTTACGGTAGAGAAATTGGGATCCAGAGGAAAACGTGGAGGTGGTGGAGGCTGGAAATTTGCAAGCATAGCTGATGGATCAAGCCGACCACTGAATGAGATGGAGAAAATGTATGTGAGGCGAGAGACTCCACGCCGGCGACGCAGGATCCTTCCTTGATTACGTCGAGTTTCTGAATTTTTTGTTAGCTGTTAAAATTAGATTCTGTAACCAATGCATTCACTCGTTTGGGATGTGTGTAGTGTTAATTTGTTGTCTCTTTTCTTTTTTTGGATGAATTGGCTTATATTTTAATAAGCTGAGCCAACGCTGATGCTTATAATGCATTCTCCTAATTTAAATTCATGAAATCAGAATATTTACTTATTTTTTAGCAGGTTTAGTCGATTGAGAAATTAAGATTGAGTAAATTTAATATTTGACGGGAGAGAATAAAATAATGATATTCAAAATTGAGAGATTAAGATTAAAATAAGCATAATAAAAAATTGAGAGATTAAGACCGGTAGAAAGACTGTGTTAAAAGATTTAAAAATAGTCAACAAAATGTTGAGAACTAAAAAATGAATTTTGTAGAAAGATAAAATTTTAAAACAGAAATTGATCTAAAACTAAATATGGTTATCACATCATATTCATAATTCAAAATAAAATTTTATGTACCTAATATTGGCTTTATTTAGAGATTAAAAATTGAAAATTTATTAAATTTTGAGTAGAAATTTACTTAGAAATCGATCTTACTATCCAATTTAATTATATTAATTTATGTTTTAAAGAGTTTTTGTTTTGATTTGATTATACTAGTATCTGTTAACAAGTGAATGACTTATCTATTCATATTAGCTTATTGATAATGAGCCCATAAGTTATGACTTATCTACTAAAAAGTTGATGTGTCATATTTCGTCATAAGTTAAATTCATTATCAACAATTGGCCTGTTGATTTTTGTTAATCTTTGAATAAAATTGATAGACGTATCAAAATAAAATAAAAATGATGTTCTTATAAGAATAATAACAGAAAATTCACTCAGGATTTGTTCTGATTTTATCTTACTAAAGGGAAATTCATATGATAAAAATTGTTATCAATAAGATACATAATAATACGTATTAGTTTAAATCATATTAAAATAAAAAGGAAGTTGAGAATCCATCTTGAAAATTGATATAATAAAAGATGGTAATTAATAAGATATATAATAAGTATTAGTTTTAACGAGTAGTGAAAATAAAAACTTAACTTACTCTATTGAAATTTATGCTCATAAGTACACAATTGAATTGATTGCACAAATAATACCTTTGTTTCTTACAATAATAATGAGCATGTAATTCTTTATTCTTTTATTTTGGTAGTACTTTTGTGATAAAAAAAAACTAACATTATTCTATTTTATTGAAGATAAAAAGAAAAGGACAAAGATGGGCCTGGGCCTGCGAGGGAGAAAATATGGAGGTGCAGGAAGAAGCGCCCCAAAATTTATGAGCAGCTAAAGTTTCTTTCTTCAATTCCTTCACTGTTTTCTTCTGAATGAACAAACCCATTGGTTTGGTTGAACACTTAACTGAAGACTTCGTCATCCTAGGACTTCCGAACAACACAGCCGCAAGCCACGCGCGATGGGTGGTGAAGCTCCGGTTACAGTCTTTGCCGACACTAACTTAGGCACTCGCATCGCCTTCAATGCCTCTCCTAACATTACATCTGCATCTCTCAAAAGTAAGTCCACAGCACTTAAAAAGCAAAAAATACTATTATTTTTCTACTACCCTTCAGGTTCTTGGTTTAAATATTTTACCCATTTGAAGATTTTGCCATTGGGCTATGGATTTCACTTGCAAGTTGCAACCTTTTCTGCCATTTATCGCTTTGTTTGATATGAATTGTTGCTGCAATGATGACTTTGAGGAGGAGGTTCTGTCTTATGAGTTGTATATTTCTTCGGCATGTTTTATGATAACAATGCTGGTCTTTAGCAAGGTATAGATATATTTTTTATTTTTATCTCGTTACCTTTCATTTATTGCTTGAAATCTCCCCTTTTGTCTCAATCTCAAGCATGTTAGGGTATCTAATGTGGAGTTTGTTGAAATCAAACTGTCTCAATCTCCATCATGGCCTACCGTTAGTTTCCAATTATGTTTGAGAATAAAAGATTAAACTTAGTGGCGAAAGCTCACCATGTTGAATTTGTGCACTAAATGTATCTTGGAGATTTCCGCCGCTACGTGATGATTGTTATAGGACATATCTGGCATTAATGCAACTCACCAGTGAAACCATGTAATCAATTTCAACATTTTACATAAATGCATATCATATTGAATTGAATTTGTTATGGACTTCAATGTTGAGATCTCAGTCTCGAGGGTCAAGATGCATGTACTACTATCATTCTCTTACACGTATATGATATGCTGATGCACTTGTTTTGAAAATAATAGGATACAATATGATATATGTATATTGAAAAAAGTATAAAAGTTCTTAAAAACATGATAAATGTATGATAGGTATCGTGTGAATCCAAATTAAAATCAAGTGTATTAAGTGTTGTCAAAATAAATAAAAAATTGTTAATTATTGTTATCATTAAAGTGTTATTGTTTTATAGATTGCATACTTCATTCATTTAAAGTATGGGATCCGAATATGTATTTGACATGGATGTGTGACATAAATTGAAGTATTTGTGCATCATTGCTTGTAATTTGTTTTACTCAGACAAGACAGAGTTCATTAGTTTTTGTGTTTTTTCTTATGTGATGATCTTTCCTTTCTTCATAAAAGTGGGGGGTTTCACGGGGCATGTTCAAAATCTAATTTTATGTGAGTTTGAGTCTTCCATTAAATGCTTTGTATCCAATTCTGGTTAGTCTTTTTTTGGATAAATTAAAGTTCTGTAGTACTGTTGATTTTACAAATTGTCATCATTCACAAAAAAAAAAAAAGGCATTGATGAAATTGTGGTTCAACATGGTGTATGTTAGGTTTTGGCATGAAAAATACTTGATGCAATGATTGTTCTGCAGGAGACTTTGAGAAAGCACACCTCAGTTGTTTACCAGATATTGGAGAGATTCAAGTCAATGGATTAATGGTAAGTACTTTACTTTCTGTTTCAGTATCTATGTATACTTTTATGAATTTTGTAACATTAAGCTTGTGCTCAATAAGTTTATTCGTATTCTCCCAGGTGAAGCGAAAATCATTCTTCTACTACCTCCCTGATTCCTTTCCTATAAAGTTTGCTTTCCCTGCGATGCTAGGAACATGGTTTCTTCATGTGGAAGTTAAGCACTTAAAATGCTTGTGTACTCCTTGTTCACCCTGTGATGAAGATGTTCTACAAAAACATAAGGACTTAATGGTCTGCAAAGGTGACAAGACAAGATGTAACAGTGAGGAAAAGAAAATAAAAGGGTTCCAACCCGGAGCATGTTTGGTGGAAGAACATGAAATCACTAATCTTGTTTCAAAGAAGCTGGAGGAAAATGAAATCTCTCATGAAAATCAAGCTCAAAATGCAGCCACTGGAATGTCAGAAAGACATCCCTGCATATTTGGAGACAAACCTACTGGTATGGCTAAGAGTTCAAACGTAATGCCAGAGAATAAATTTGAAAATCTGGTTGAGTTGCATCCTAACTCGATGCAAAGCAGCCACAGTAACATGTCAACACAATTGATATCAGTCACAGGTATAATCAATAAATATTTTACAAGTTTCAATGGCATTGACAATTTTAGCAGCTCTTCAAACTCAGATCTTACCTCTAGAGCTGTGCATAGTGAGATTGAAGTTCATTCAAACGCCAGAGAACGTGGTTGCTTGAAAATACAAAGAGATTCCCTGCCTCATTTCACTCCCAAAACATCTCCACATGTCTTGCATACTCCATTGGTTTCCAAAAAATCAAGAAGCAAAAACAGAAAATTGAAACCTGGTAAACGTCCTTTATCAGGGAGCAAAACTAGAAAATCAAGAATCGGAACTCGTCTTCTTTCAGCTTCACGGAATCTTGGGGTTTCTATCACCAAGCATGATCCTACTATTCCATTCCGAATATTGAAAGATAGCAAACTACTACAGGGAAAATCTCAAATGAAGGGTTCGATATTTTCTATCTCTGGCAGTGATGACGATTGAGTTGTAGACCTTAACATATCTTTAAATATGTAGAATGGTTTTGAATATCATACTTCTGATTTAGCAGTATGATGAGTGAAATTATAGGCAAAATGTTGTAAGTGAAACTTGTTGATCGCAAAAAGAGCAAACAGATGTTGTAACTAGCAGTTTTGATACTATACAGAGTTCTGAAACAGCTTAGATGAATTCATTGCAGACCATCTACCACAAACCAAAGAACATCCAGAAGAATTACATAGAAAATAAGCGTGGTTTAATTTAAGTGTTAATGAATTTCATTTTAAGTTTATAACATAAATTTGATGTGGTTTTACATGTTTTATATTATTTTTTTTTAATAAATTTTTACGTGATAATAAATAATCATTGAATTTTGAGATGACAAAACTTCCTAAAATATGTTGACAAAAATTACATCGAACGATTATTTAACTTTTCTACTTTATTAGATTCCTTTAATATAATATTTCTTTTCCTTTTATCCTTTTTTTTTTCTCTTTTACTTTACACTTTATAAAGTTTACTTGCTTCATACTTCAAATGCTTCAAGCAATCCCTACCTTGCACACTCTTATTAGTTGTTTTGTTTCTGTTTTGTGTCATTTTCCTTTAGTAATTTTGTTTTTTGCTTTATTCTGTGTCATGTTCCTTTATATACATCGTTTTTTCAGTTTATTTTATTTTATCTTATGATTAATTGTTTGAAATACCTATATTTTAATGTTTTATCATTATTAAAATAATATTTTACAAATCAAATTAATTATTATTTATAAACATTTTTTTTCATTTTAAAATATAACTAAAAAGTTTATATTTTTGAACTAATAAAGTTTAACTTTAAAGGAAATTTTAATCTAGAAATAGAAAAACAGAGAAACAATTTTTACTTATTTTGATAAATATTTATTTAGCTTTAACTGAAAAGAATGTTAAGCTAATAATACATTAGGTCAAATAAGCCCTGATACATTTATATCAATACTATTTGTTTTGAAATATTTATCAAAAATAGATATTTTTATTTTATATTTTATTATTTCTCTGGTTTGAATTGTAGTTAATTTCAAAATTATATATTAGTTTAAAATGTATGTTCATTTAATATGTTTAGAAAAATTTATTCAAAAGTCTTATTTAAAAGAAGAAGAAAATGAAATAAGATAGGAGGTAGAAGCTGTGTGGTGGAAATGATCAAAGTAGTATAACATATTTCGATTATATTTAAAATTTAAAAGAAAACTACAACTGATGATTTATTAAAATTGAATGATCAAGATTTTATAATTTACTTTCACATATTTAAAAGAAACTATTTTATATTCTTTTCTAAACTAGTTTATTTTGACCTCCCAAAAAATATATTTTTTAAATGGTTTTTGTCCTTAAATTAATTTTTAGACTTGTTTACTTTTAGTTTGTTGGCAATAAAGAATCTACATATTTATATAATTTATTTTCAAATTTTTAATATTAAATATGCTTAATAGGATAAAAAAGAAACTTTGGGTTACTCACCCCGTCCATTGATTCTTTGGGAAACCTATGTAGTAAAAAAACTTGACTAGTGACAAGTCCTGAGGAGAACTAGATTAATAGTATTTTCTCTTCCGTTAGAAGCTCTCTTCTTCAGTAGTTAGTTTGAGTAGAAATGCCCATTTTCCATTATTTTGGTTTAAACTTGAAAGTATTGATAACTTGATGAGTGTGGTTGGATTGGGTGGCTGAGTTTGGCAAAGTGAGTGTGACAGAAGTTAGTGGATGAGTGAGTGAAGAAGAAGAAGAAGAAGAAGAAGAAGAAGAATAGCCGTTGATTGATTGGTTGATTCAATTCATTGGACTGTGATGAAGAAACTCAGATGGGTAATGGATGGAGGAGGGTTTTGGGATTTGGACATTTCAACTCCTCAAACCCTTGATGGCTTGGCCCGTGCCGTCCCAGGGGACCCTCTTCCCTTGGGTCTCTCACGAGGCACAAGGCTTTCCAGACCCAGACAACTCGAGTTCATGCACCGTTTCATGAATGCCCCTCTCATTCCCTCCTACTCCAAACCTCATGGCCTCTCCCTCCACCGTCTTATCTCCCTCCCCTTTTCTGATGATTGGTATGCTAACTCAATTCTCCACTAAAGTTTCAATCTTTTTCTGCATTTTGCCCCTTTTCGTTTCTGGGAGTGTTGGATTTTTTTTTGTGTGTTTAATGTAGTCCACTCAGGTTGCATCTTAGATTAGATGGTATTGCTGTTATTTTTATTTTTTATTCAGTGATTGTTTTCATTAGTTTAACAATTAGTTGTGTTAATGATTGCTTGTGTGAAGTGTAGACTGTATGGTTTTTAATATTGTGAAAAAGATATTGGAGGAAGGAATCTATTAGTATATAATATCTCTGAAGATTTGGTCTTTATTGGGGACCTGTGATCCATGTATCTCATTTTACCTTGTGGGACATGGCTTTGTTCTTGTTGTTGTAAGTGAGCTGTGTGTGTGTGTGTGTGTGTAACTGATACTCAGTGTGAGAGTTTTGCAGGGTTTTATTTTTACTGGGTCAGTTCAATTTGCAGAGGTTTGTTTCCTCTGTTAAGAGCAGTGAGGAGAAGCCAAAGGGGGTTTCCTCTTGGTTAAAAACCTTTGGGAGACATTTGCAGCAGAAGTCCTTGTATGCCTTGGGTTTCTCTTCAGAGTTTCAGTTGGGGGAAAATGATACATTGTTTTTTGGCTTAGATGCTTATGATGATGCCGAAAAGCCTCGTGGGAAATTCGTCTTGCACCATAAGGTTAGCATTTGAATGTCTCCCCTTGCGCATCCCAAAGATATATTTTGTTATTCTCAGTTGATCATAATATTGATCCGGTTTACATCAACGATCTACTTTCTTTTTTCCTACAGTAACTTTCTTACATGAAATTGAACTAGATTTTGGTCTTTTTACTCACAAAATTTTATTGGTGTGTGGTTGTAGTTTCCAGATCATGATCTAACAGTGGAGGCAGTTTCTCCTGGTCTTTTTGTTGATAATAACACCGGTAATTACTGGGATGTTCCATTTTCAACTGCAGTTGATCTTGCTTCTGTGACAACCAGTGACTCTTCCACCGCTTATCATTTGTCGGCACACTACACTTCTGGGTCACCCAAGCAGTTTCAAAATACTCATAACCATAATAATAGAGTACCACCTTCTCTACTTCCTGGCTTGGCCTTCAAAAGTGCCGTTTCTTACAGGAAAAAAGTTGATATTTGGAGAAGTGAAGCTCCGAAGTTGAAATTGGTGCAACCGTATGACGTGTTTCTTTCAAATCCTCACGTGTCTGCCTCAGGGATTATTGGTAAATTTTCTTCTTGTTTGTAACGTTTTTTGCTGACACATTTTCTTAGCGAAGAAGTGAGGAAACTGTTAGACATTTTCTTAACATTTCACATGCATGTTTATTGTTCTAAATGAAAGGATTTGAGAGCCTCTGGGATGTATGTATTACTTAAGATAGTGTACAAAGAGGGTAACCCGTGTAACAAATTATCAAATACATTGGTAATGATCACATCACAAAGATCTTTTATCTGGAGCATTGCCCTGTTGTTTCTTGAAGCTGTGGATGGTTTTAGAGTATGCTTATTGTTTCCTTGAATTCTTTAATGGGAAGGTGCTGCTTCAACTGCCGCATTTGGGGATAATTCAGCAAGAGCACAAATAGAAGATGGTAGTCCAGGATATATTCTCCAGGTTTCTGGAGTAAAGTCTTCCTTTGTAGCAGATATGTTTGCATCCGTTTCATTCACGGCTCAACATGGAAACTTCCAGAGGCCTTTTCTAGATCTTACCCGATTTCAGGCCCGGCTGGATTTCCCTTCTGGTTTCAAATTTCTTTCAGCTGCAACTGGTCTAACTCAAGATCTTCTCAATTCTCAAAAGCCCAGCTTGGAAGCTGTTCAGGCGATTTTACCCAATGCTACATTATCACTTCAGCAGCAGGTACCTCTCAATCAATTATTTCACAAATTTGCATGATTTCAGTGTTTTAAAACTTCTTCTGATTAGTAAGCTTTATCTCAAAGGACATTTTGGCACTGTTGGAATAAATTTTTCTGTAAACGCTTGTAAGAGAAGAAAGTAAAAAGAGGTAAAATGGATTGAACTTCTTGCATAAGCTAAAGTCAACTATTTACCTCATGTTTTGATGATGTTAAATGAAAAAACATTTATAGAAGTTCAATTGCTTAAGTTGATTTAACTTATGGGAGAAGTTTAACTTTAATTCATCTTGGCTTCTTATTTTCTCCTCCCATAAATGCTTATGAAAAAATCTATCCAATCCGGGCCTTTGCTAATTAGTTGCTACAGAAAAAACTTGTTCTTCTTTATTGGTTTCCTATTGTTTGTCCATAAGTAGATGCATGCTATCATTATTAATTAATAAATAAAAAATCAAAATTTCAATTTCACTATCCTGCCTCTGACGGTCGTTCTTCTTTATTGGTTTCCTATTGTTTGTCCATAAGTAGATGCATGATATCATTATTAATTAATAAATAAAAAATCAAAATTTCAATTTCACTATCCTGCCTCTGACGGTCGTTCTTCTTTATTGGTTTCCTATTGTTTGTCCATAAGTAGATGCATGATATCATTATTAATTAATAAATAAAAAATCATAATTTCAATTTCACTATCCTGCCTCTGACGGTCTCCACCTCATTGATTCTATCTATTCTTTTTCCAATCTCATGTTTCTAATCTTGCACTGCAAATTTTTCAAGCATTTGGTCCAAAATGCTGCTGTAATGTTAACCAAAACACTTCATTATATCTTGCAGATTGTTGGTCCTGTCAGTTTTAGAGTTGATTCTGGAATTAAAGTTGATCTGAAGAACCCTGATTGGCCTATTCATGCACAGGAACCTGTATTTGCTTTGGAATATGCATTGCAAGTGCTTGGTTCAGCAAAAGCAGTTGCATGGTATTGCCCCAAACGCCAAGAGTTTATGGCAGAACTTTGTTTCTTTGAAACATAAACAACAGCTCAATAGGCCTATAGAAATATCTATTCCTTAGATTGCGAAAGCTAGTTTTCATTCTAATATATAGCTAGCAATAGGTTTGTGTTTTACTACCTCTATTGGAATTGTAGTTATGGAAGAAGAGAACTATCAAATTTCATTGAATTCCGGGATTATCAATGCAAACGTTTTGCACCACAAATTCTTTGCAAATCTTGTGAAACTCTTCTTTTTTTCTGCTTTTACCGGACATGGAATTCAGCTAAGAATGATGTCAACATGAGCATAATTATTGAAAGCTTTCGATTTCCTTTATAGTGTGCAATCAAGATGAAACTGTTTGTATTTCAATGTGTCACTGAAGTTGACATAAAAGCTGACATCCAACATATACCAAAAACCACCATAAACTAACAAGTGAACCTTTAACTACTTTGTGACGTCGCCTTAGCGTTCAACAAACCAAAACACATAAGTCTTCAACTAGACGTGAGAAAGAAGCATTGGTCGTCTTAATCTGTGTGTGGCCATAGGGCACATTAATCAGACACATGGTGTGCATTAGTGTCACGTAACGTGTATCACATCAAATGATCAAACAAACATTTGGTTACTTGTTATTGGCAATCGCTTCGTGATTATCGGTGAGACAGGGACACATTTTAATTAAATGAGCTAAATATTAATTTAAAGAAAAAAAAACTATTGGAAAGAGATTTATGTTTTAATTTCCAAAAATAAAAAATAAAATGACTTTAAACGAAAACATAAATAAAATATATTTTATTTACTAGAGTATGATGATGATGAAAATAATGGAAGAAGTATATTTATTAAGAAAGAAAAATTGAAACCGCATTTGGGTGATGCAGTGAGAAAGGAGGGAGCACATGGTTGAATGCCACGTTAAAGAAGTAGATGTTACTTTCTTTCGATCACTTCTCTCATCTTCTTTCCATTTCAAGATTTGGAACAAAACAAAGTTTGTGACTGCAACATCTTCCTCAATAAGGCATTGAATTGGACTCACACCATTCAATTTCCATACGCAGAGAGTTATGACGTCAAGTACCCAAGCCTACGGTGAGCCATGGTACTGGGACAACCGCTACACCAACGAACCTGGTCCCTTCGATTGGTATCAAAAGTACATCACTTTGGCTCCCATCATCAGCCTCTATGTCCCTCCTACACAACGCATCCTCATCGTTGGTTGTGGCAACTCAGGCACCTTTTCTTCTCCTACCCTTCTTCTTCTTTTCTCTTTTTTTTTTCGTCTTTTATTCAGATCTCATTATGGGTACATGCCTCTTTCTTTGGATTCTAGAAAAATTACATTTTTATGTTCTTTGGGTTTTTATTTTTTGTTGTGGTGTTTTCAGCCTTCAGCGAAGGCATGGTGGTTGATGGCGGTTACACAGATGTTGTCAACATTGATATATCTTCGGTGGTTATTGAAGCTATGAAAAGCAAATACCAAGATTTCCCCCAATTGAAATGTATCCTTTCTGCTTTGTGATTTGTCTGTGTCAACTTTACATGTTATGTAATCGTAGAAGAGTTTAATTGTGCATTGCTGTGTCTGTCTATGAATCATTTTTTACATTATCTATCAATGTTGAGTTAGTTATTGAAAATGTCAACAACAAATTCGTTATAAAGTATTAAACTTCATAGATTTTAACAAAGAAGTTAATAATGTTGAGTCTGATGTATCCTTAATAATTGGGCAGATGTGAAAATGGATGTGAGAAACATGAGTGATTTTGAATCAGAGTCTTTTGATGCTGCTATTGACAAAGGTGTGCTCACTGTTTAATTTTAGTTTTTTTTTTATCTGTTTTTGTTATAAAAAGTTCATATTTGACAATGAATTGTGCTGATACCGTTTGCTTTTGCTTTTCAGGGACTCTTGACTCTATCTTGGTGAGTGTAGTGATGGTTCATCGAAATGCAAGTATGTTTGACAAGTCTTATAGTTTGGTCTTTACATATTTTTGTTTGTAGTGTGGAAATAATTCAAGACAAAATGCTACAAAAATGCTTGAGGAGATCTGGAGGTATAATAAAACCATGAACAAAAGTCTACAATTGATCTGTTTTATTTTGAATTTTTTTTATTCTTGATCTGTTCACCATTATTGAAGCAGTTGATGACACACTATAGGGTCCTCAAGGATAAAGGAGTTTATGTTCTGGTAATAGCATCTCTTTATTTATGTCGATTAAATATGTTTATAGTGGTTAAATATCTTTGTAGATCCTCAGCTTGGACAAGAAATTAAAATTCATATTTGTTCTAAACTTTGATACATTTTAGTTTTTTATGAACAAATGGATATAGTCCTCTGCTCGAGGACAAAAATATAAATAACGTTTTAGGTTGACATTTGAGTTAAAACATGTCAACTCAGAAGTCACTCTGAAATGTATTTCGACACGTCATAAAAATGTGATGTAGTTAAATTAAGAGGATTATATCTATTAATTTTTAAAGTTTAATGACCAAACTGTAACAAAATTTGGGATGACAAATTTTAATTTTCTGTCGAAGTAAAGGAGCTAAAAATGTATTTAACTCTGTTTAAGCATCAGTGTTTACTCTCCAATGAATAGAATGTGCCTTTGCATCTCACCTGGGTAGGCTTCAATGGTTGTAAAATCTGCAGGTGACATATGGAGCTCCGCTATATCGCCTACGTTTGCTACGAGAATCATGCTCATGGACAATAAAACTCCATGTCATAGGTTGGCTTCAATCTTACTGTCATTGTCATTTTGTATTCCAAGTTACATACTTTCTGTTCTATATCTCTCTCAGATGCTTATCTACATACCTCTAAATTTGCCTTTCTGTCATTTAATTTTGTAAGCCAGAAGTCCCAGATAACACAAAAGTTAGAATAGACAAGTTTCTAAATAAGCAATAGTATAAAAAAAAAGAATTAGGGAGTTATGCAGCAAGTTAAAATCAGTTTGTATCAAGTATATTATGTATTAAAAATTTGATTGTAAAGTAAGCCCTAGTCTATAACCAGTGTCATGGTACATGTAGAGAAACTTGCCTCAGAAGAGAAATCTGATCAACCAGTTTGGGAGCTTACAAAACCTGTTCCCCTCAATGATGATGGAACCTCTGTGGAGGAAGCTCTAGGAAGGAATCCTGATGTCCATTACATATACATCTGCACTAAGGTAATCAATATTTTATGATATATCCTTGCTCAAATACATGTCACATGTAATTCATACTTCTGACTCAAGTTGAATGCATCCTTGCCCATTTGGACTAACCATTTTTGTTATAATGCTTCTTTCAGGAAATTTCTGCTAACTCAAACACAAAGCCATGATTAGGTTTTTTAGAGGAGGAGGCATACACTTCCACTCTCTAAAAATTTATGTTGCTACTTTTTTACTGTAGTTGATCTTAGAGCTTGTAATGTTTCTTTCAGATATTTTGATTTCTCAGAATGTGATATCAAGACAGTCATTTGTTTAATTCCAAATTTGATTGATTCCATGACACTTTTCTTAATCATTGATAGGATTGATAGGATAGTGTTAAAATGTATTCTTCTAAATTCTCTTACAGTTTACAGTTCTCATTGTTGTATTATATTTTAAGCTTCTCACCATTATGGCTTTTTCTTATGATTGTGATTTTTTAGTTTTAAGAATCCTGGTGACTTTTACATATATAAACAAATTAGAGAATAAAAAAATTATTAATTTGAAAGTAAAAAATAAATAAGAAAATATAAACACATATGCATGAAAAGAAAAGAAACATGTATTTAAAGATATTTTCAATTCATTGTAGAATCTTTATATGCACTTTTATCAATAATTTATCTTCTGAGTTAATTTTGTATGAACCTCTTAATTTGATGCACTTCAAACCTCAAATTTAAAATCTCTTATCCTTTTAAGATAACTTTTTTAGCTGATTGGAAAATTTATGTAACATGTCCATAAATATACAAGTTTTTGCTAATGTGTAAAGTTACTTTTCTAGTAATAATTTTTTTCCTAGATGATTTTCTTTAACCATCTGCGAATTTATTAATTAGCATATATATTTGAATAAATATATAAGAACTATTTTTAATAGAAGTTGTTTATTTGGTATTGAGTTAATGTTAAAATATAATTTAAAATAGTAAAATATAATAATCATTTGTAATTAAAAAAAATTCTTTAAACAAATATATTATTTTAATAGCATTTACAGGATGTTTTATGTATTAGGAAAAACACTTTTGTAATGTCATACTCAAACAAATTAATACTCACTTTTTATATAATTGTAACCAAATACTAAATTTAGTTTGCTTTTATAAAGTCACCACATAGAATCTCTAATTTTTTAAATTTTAACATTTTTTGTAAATTTCTTAAATAAATATTTTGAAATATTATTTCCAAAATAAATTTATTAAAAAATCATTTTACTAAATGGATCTATTTGATTTTTTTTCTAAAATGAAGAGGAGAAAATAAGAAAAAACAATTAAAAATTAAAATTAAAATTATGGAAGGTAATTTAAAATAATTACTTGAAAATATTAAATTTTAATTTTAATTAGAAAATGAATAGAATAAAATTAATTTATTATTTTATTAATGTAACTTTTAATTATTATTAACAACAGAAATGATGTTAATGTTATAAAATTATAAATTTATCTTATATTTTTCATTATTTTTTTCTACGTACCATTATAAAATAAATTTTATTTTAAATTATATTATAAAATTAATATTTTATAAAATTTTCCTAAATAATATATTTTTTAAATAATATAATATAACAAAATTAAATTTTAATTGATTTTTCTATGTTCGATATTAGATCTTTTTTAAAAAAAAAATTCTAATGAGTTTCTTTTAAAAAATTCTTTAAAAATATTATTTTAAAATAATCTTAAATATCATAAAATTATTATTCAAAATTCTAATTGAATACTTATTTCCTTCCTTATTAGATTAAGATTTTACTATTTTGCAGTTTATTCATTGTAAAAAATAAAAGAAAAAAGAGAAGTATTTTAGATTAAGAATCTTTACCATTCAATTCCACTCTACCTTTGTTTATCAATACTCAAAATAGGAAAATATTATTTTAATAATTTTTTTTTGACAACTTACATTACCAATAGAATAATCACATGTGGCCATTCTCAAAAAGTTATTATGAAAAAGTTGTTAACATTCAACTTA